AGCAGTAGCAGTAGCAGTAGCAGTAGCAGTAGCAGTAGCAGTAGCAGTAGCAGTAGCAGTAGCAGTAGCAGTAGTACTGGTGGTAGTGGTAGTAGTAGTAGTAGTAGTAGTAGTAGTAGTCGCAGCAGCGGCAGCAGCAGCAGTAGTAGCAGCAGCAGCAGCATGAGCAGCAGTGGCAATAGCATAAGTAGCAGCAGCAGCCGTCGCGGCGGAGGTAGTAATAGTGGTACTAGCGTCGTCGAAGTGGTCGTGGTTGTACCAGCAGTGACCGCAGCACCAAACGTTGCAGTTGCAGTAATACAGTAGCAGCAGCAGCAGCAGCAGCAGCAGCAGCAGTAGCAGGAGCACTCGACGTTGTCGCGAACGCAGTAGCAGTACTCGTCGTCGTCGTCACAGGGCTCTTCATAGTGGCGTACGTTGCGGTAGTAGGTGGTGGTAGTAACCAATCACGGCAGGGCTCGCAATGGCAAGTTGCAGAAATGGCTCTCTGCGCTGCGGCGGCGAGGAGCCAAGACAAAAAACGGAAGGCCAAGCCTAAGCCGCAGGCATGCCAGTTCCTTTGCGGCTGACCGCAATCGAGCTTCAAGATGCCGGCACCGGACTCGTTCCTATCACTCTGGTTCTGCCGAGCAAGTCTGCAAATCAGAAACCAAAAAGGGTCCTCTTCTACCTCGACAGCTAGCCGCGTGGCCTGGCGTTGCGACAGCTTCCAACAACTTCCAAAGGACTGGTTCCAAGCACCTCTGCTTGCGAAGCAATGAGTTGCGTCTGCATTCCTTGCAGGATATCAGGGCTCTGAGGTCACAATTATTATGTGGAGAGTCCAGGACGTGTAATGGGCTGCGACCTTCCAGAGGACCAATAGCATCCTCGCAGAGAACGAGCATCGCGTCCAGACTGCCTCCCAGCGTGTAGGCAGAACTACCGAGACAGCAGCCAAATTGGCCAGTGCCAGTCACCTATAGGAACGGCTCTTGCAGAAGAGCTCGCACTGCTCAAGCCAAGCAATCTTGCACCTGCAAAGCAAACAAGCATCGTTGCTAGATGACAGCCAAAAGCCAGGACTCCCAGACTCCCAGCCTAGCTGAGAGATGCGCGATTTCAGTGCAGGTGCTTTGTAAGCCTCAGTGGTGTCAGGCCTCACCCTATAACCTCAAGACATATCAAACCGCGTCGCAAAGACATGCAGGTTTCTGCGAAGGCCAGTTCTCCCCAAGCTGCGAGGTAACGGCGCTGCAGGTCTACGCCACACCGGTTTAATTTACACAAATTCCTCGCCAAAAAGGCTGCCAAGTAGACATCTTCGAGGAAACGTGGGTTCAGCACCTTCGGCGCATATCGATTGTACAGCATCAACAAGCTGATAACGCGGGCATGGGCCCAGAAAATTTCCCCCCCTCGCACCACGCACTCAACACAGAAAGCTCACATGTAAATTTACGCGTTCATACTCCACTTCGATGGAACAAGCTCGAGGAAGGCACGGTGCTATGCTCACTGCACATATTTGCCGCCCTTCAGGCCGCAATTTTCTTCGAACGCATACTAAGACTCCACCTGGGTCGACAGAGCGTGATGAGCAGAGCAAATCATCCATAGCGACACGGGTGGAGTCCGGAACAACCTTCGCCCAGGGTGAAACTGCTTGATGGCTTGCATGGCAGCACCACTGAGGGGCGTTTGCCGCCATTGTGGGCTGGGTTACGGCAGTACTCTCGGGTGAGAGCTGGCTTTGCGAAAGCAAGACTTTTGGCTTGCCCGTGCAGACAGAGGCAGGCGCGGAGTGGGGTGCCACTCCCTGTCGCATCCACCCACGGGTGCAATGCAGGGCCTAAGAGCCGTCACTCTCGGTTAAGGCGCTGCCGCTGCTGCCTCAGTTTGAAGGCATGCCGCCTGTGCACAAAGCCGTGCCAGACCTCATCTAAGAGGTGTTGCCAAGTTGCTGCTGCTGCTGCTGCCCTCATCACCCTCTTCTGGAGAAGCCAGTGGGCCCTTCGACAGCCACATGACTTGCGCAGGCAGAGTTCAGGTGGCACGACTACAGTACAGTCTAGCACGCATTTGCGCCTCGTAGGAAATCTGCTGCAGAGCAAGGAGTTGGTTTGTCTGCAGCCCGGACTGGTCACTCCCCCACACCGAAAAGTCACTCCCATTTAGCCCGTGCTTCAACATGTCGATTTTGCCGGTGCCTTGGCTCGGACGGCATCTATGGACAAGCTTTGGGCATGCCTGACGAAGCAAGACGACTTTTTTGAGCCAGGCGCTTCTTCTTCTGTTCTCCGCCACAAACTTCGCAAAGTTCGACGAATCTTCAGCAAGTTCGATCTTACTGTCGACGACTCCTTCAGCCTTCAGATCAACATCAAGATCAGTCTGCTATTCTGCAATTTTCTGAATACTTTCGAAATTTGCAGGTGCCGTGGGCCTGCCCCAACGCTGTCACGGCCCAGGAGAACAAGGCTTGTCTTGCTGCCTCTTCCGCCCCTTCCTCCTCGTTCTGCGGCATCTGCGGCCAAACATCTGAGAGGGAGTCCGGATGCTGCCTCAGATAAGTGCTTTTCGACCTAGGGCTAGCAGATGAATTGCTCCATGTCCTCCTAGCTTCCCTGGAGGCAATATGATGTCCTGCCCCTACCAGAAACTGTTCGCCTTGGTAGCACCTGCCTCAACATCCAAGCTGCGCAAAGTAGTCACGGAACATCTTGGCATACCTTGAGCTGCTACGGGAGCTGAGGATTCAGCGAATGTATGCAAACAGAGCGATCCAATCATTCCATGGTTATTGTTTGGTTGTAAACATCTGTCGGAAAGAGCAACCGTCTCTCAATTCGCGAATAGCATGTACGAGTAGAATGTGGTGTGTCTTGTGTGTGTGTGTGCGCGTGTTGTGTGTGCTTGTGTGCGTGTGTGTGTGTGTGTTGTGTGTGTGCGTGTTTCTGTGTGAATGTGTGGGGTGGGTGGGTGGGTGTGTGTGTGTGTGTGTGTGTTTGTGTGTGTGTGAGCGAGCACACAGGCCCTCTATGAGCCTGCCTGTGTGGAGCGGCCGCATGATCCCTTCTTTCTGTCTCCTTGT